CGTATTATTCTAATTACTCCATAATCGCAATGAATAGAAGACCTCCCGCTCGCTTTATTGTATACAACCAAGACTTCACAATAGGGGGTTGTAAGTAGGTAAAAATATAAAATTTAGTACCAGATGACGTTTAGAATATTCTTCGTGAATGGATTTTGTTTTCGTAAAGAAAGATATTTTTGAAATAGATAGCTCACTGAATTTTACCGTTAGGATTATCGAGGATAGGCCTTAAGCGATGGAAGATCAGTGTTAATGCTAGAAAATCAGTACAAATTACTTTTACAACAAGACAATCTACATGTCCACAAGTTTATATTAATAATAACCCCATTCCTATAAAACCAGCTGTCAAATACTTTACGGAAATTAAAACTAAACGGAAACAACTAGATCTTAAACTAAAAAATATGAACTGGCTATTTTACAAAAGGTCTCAGTTATCTCTTGAAAATAAACTGCGTCTGTACAAAGCTATATTTATACCAGTTTGGGCATATGGAATATAACTATGGGGCTGTAGTAAACCTTCAAATACGAAGATACCTCAAGCATTCCAATCCAAAATACTCCGTATTATAAGTAAAGCTCCGTGGTATGTACCTAACGAAACACTTTACAATGATCTGGACATCCCATTACTTAAGGACATAATAAAGAATCACCCAATAAAATATATAAATCGCACCACTGATAACAACAACAAACTGATAAATAATTTATTCACCCAACCATTTGCCAAAAGAAGATTGAAGAGGGTATGACCTGAAGACCTACCACAATAATACTTAGAGAACCGTCAATGGACGGTACCTAACTCGCGTTAAATTACTTAGAGACTATTTACTTATTACTCTGTATATAGAGTAGATTGTAAACATTCAATGTAACAATAAAAAAATATGTTATTGACTTAATGAGAGTGGTATTTTCTTTTTATTGATTTTCTCTTTTAATGTGGGTAACCGGATCCTACTGCACTCTGCCGAGGAATTTGCGACTCAATTGATCTGATTTAGCATAATTAGAGCCGCTTCTTTTATTTTTCTCTATTTACCATCAGTATCTTTCAGGACTACCAAGGTTATACAAGTGTGTGCTCCCACAACAACACATCAGGAATAGGTAGTTGAAATGTTCTACGAAGATTTGATAATAGCATTAGAAGAAAATGATACAAAGTATACTATTATTATGGGAGATTTCAACGCAAAATTAGGTAAAAAGAAGAGAATACTTAAACCATAATAGGGATGAATGGTTATGGTACACGAAATGAAAGAGGAGAAAAATTATATAACTTCTTAGAACAACAAAATTTATATGTCATGAACACACACTTCAAGAAACCAGCAAACCGAAAATGGACGTGGATATCTCCCGATAAAAAGACGAAAAACGAGATCGATTTTTTCTTGTGTGGGAACAAAGACATTTTTGAAGATATAACTGCTCCCAATCGATTCACAACTGGCAGCGATCATCGCCTTTTAAGAGTAAGGATTCTTATTAAACAGACGAAAACCAGTAGAAAGAGGCCACATAATTATTGTAATCAGATAGATCAAACTAAAATACGACAGAAGGGAGATGAGTACAGAGAAGTCTTAAGAAAAGAATTTGTAGAACATTATCAACAAGAATATTCCGATATGAACACAATTAATAAAGAAATGCAATGAAACCTTTTGAAAGCAGGATTGAATGTTGCAACGAAAATGAAAAATAAAGAATACTGAATAAGTGAAGGAACAAAACGGTTGCTGGAAAATACCAATGGTTTCAAAGAATTGAATAACCAAATAAAGAAAGGAAGTAAAGAAAGATTTAAGGATCTATAATGAAAACAAGGTAAAAAAAATAATAGAAAAGAACCGAGGTTTGCTTAAGATCAAACTTAGGAAAACGTATAATAATCTCATTGAAGGATAAAGATGGAAAAGAAATAAAAGTAAAGAACGAAATCCTCAAAGCTACTCAAACATTTTACCGTGATTTATATTCTTCAAACAAGAACCCAGAATGATTGCCAATATCCGGAACGAATAGGCACTGAAAGAAGAAGAAACAAGAACCCAGATAACACTGCAAAGGAAGATCTTAAGAGAAATACAACGAATGTCAACTCAGAAATACTCCCTAACATAAAATCCTTCGAAATAAAATGAGCTATGGCACAACTAAAGAACAATAAGGCTACGGTCCCAGATGGAATACTTGCAGAAATGTTGAAGGAGGAGAGTGAAATTATTCTCGAAGAATTGAAAAAAATTTTCAACCAATGTCTTCACAGAGGAGAAGTCACAGATGATTGGAATGAAAGTTTGAAAATAATTCTCTTCAAAAAGGGAGACAGGGGGGATCTGAAGAAATATAGGCCAATCTCCCTGTTGTCCCAAATGTACAAACTGTTTACGAGAGTAATAACTAACAGGTTAATGTCGCAGCTCGATAGCTATCAACTGGTAGAGCAGGCAGGATTCCGAAAGGGCTACAGTACAGCATATAATCTTCTTACAGTCAGAACTCTAATAGAGAAAGCCAATGAATATCACTTGAACTTATACATTGGCTTCGTTGATTATGAAAAGGCATTCGACTCCATACAACTTTGAGCAATAGAGAGAGCTATGAACAACTTCAGGATAGACTCCCGATACAGAATGCTCATACATAATATTTGCAAGATAGCTGCAATGAAAATACAAATATATGCGATTATCTCACCAAAGCTATTCACACTTGGACTGGAAGACGTGTTCAAAGACATTAACTGGGCAGATAAAGGGATAAATGTAAATGGAAGAAAACTGAGTCATTTAAGATACGTTAATGATGTTGTAATATTCGCTACAAGTTTCGAAATACTACAGACCATGATGACGCAACTATTTCAAGCTTCAGAAAAAGTAGGTCTTAAGATGAACTTGGAAAAAACAAAAATCACGACAAATAACATTAGAGAAATAACGTTGAACGACATATATTTAAAAACAGTAAGCGAATACATCTACCTGGGACAGATAATGAAAGTTAACAAAAAAAATCAAACTGTCGAAATTACCAGAAAATAAGGTTAGCGTGGGCAGGATTTGGAAAACTGAGTTGGATCTTGAAAAGCACTAAAATAGAACAATATTTGAAAACCAGAATTTACGATCAATGTATCCTTCCTAACTCACGTATGGTTCACAGACGTGGACACTTAACAAGTCTTATATAGATAAAATAGTAATAGCACAAAGAGCGATGGAAAGATCAATGATCGGGGTGAGACTTATAGACAAAAACAAAACAAACAAATGGATTAGAAGCAAAACCAAAGTAAAAGACGCAGGAGAACATGTTGCCAAATTAAAATGGAGCTTCGCAGGACACAATGTCCGACTGAAGGATAAGAGATGGAACCACGAAATACAACAAAGGATACAATGGTTAGGAAAGGGAAGCAGAGGAAGACCACAAATGAGATGGATGGATGATATTAAGAAGATCGGAGGACACAACTGGAAGTAAGTGGCGCAAAATAGAAGACACTGGATTGATTTGGGGGAAGCCTATGTCCAAAGTTGAATTACTTAAGGCTAAAGAAGCAGAAGATCTTTCAGGACTATACTTGAATCTTTTAAATCAGTTTGTCATCTTTTAATTCATAGTGACTTTTTAATTAAAAATTAGATAATCGTGTGGTGAAAAAATAAGTATGCCATTATATTTGCATTTTTGTGTTATTAATAAAATTCTTATAAGAGTTTTCAACAACCATATACAGGATGAAATTTTTTCTATGAGCAAAACGAATAAATTTTTTTTATTCTGGACCTGATTTTTTTCTAGTTTAAATAAATCAAACTGGAAAAAAGAACTGGTTACTTTATTTAAAGTTAAAAATTTAAAGTTTGTTTAAAGATTTAATTTTGCAAGTAAAGTTTCAGTTTTTACATCTATGGTTCACTTTACTAAACTTTTAATTCATAGTCAAATTTGATTTTTTAATAAAATATTAGTTAATTGTATGGGGAAAAAATTAGTATGCTGTTTTAATTGTCTATTTGTCTAATTTATGAAATTCTTATCAGAGTTTTCAAAAAAACTGTATACAGGGTAAAATTTTTTCTGTGAACAAAACAAACTAATTTTTTAAAGCCGGGTCTTTTTTTTTCTAGTGTAATAAATCAGTTGGTTAGGTTATAGTGGTGTGACGTTTTACCAAAATATACGACGCATCGAATGAGACACACTAAAATTGTAGATATTATATTGCCGTGAAAGGTGTTATCTACCTTGAGAAGAAAAGAAATAATCATAACGCTTCTGAAACTCAGTCAATGTTAACAGAGGATTATTCTATTTAAAATTGGGAAAAGTCGCAATGTGGAACTTTGAACATGTTATCATGTTCGTATTAGTATGTTCAAATGTCCGTTTCAACATCCAAATGTTAATAACAATATACCAAAACATTAGCAAAAGTTTTAGGCTCAAATTGCAATTATACCAATACTATAAATTACTTATTATTATATACTTATAATTATACTTATTTTATTATATACTTATAATTATACTTATAATTAAGACATTAATATATACTACAAAATTTAATGTAATGTAAATCTTAATGTAACTTAATTGTAGTATACTAATTGTTGCTAATGACAATCTGGTCGATGCGATTGCTTAAATAAAAAAAAACATTAAAAATATATCTAATACCGCTTTTTTACAATAAAGTCAAATTTTCAAAGTTCAAAAAACAAAATATAATTTAATATTTATAATTATTAATATTTATAATATATATAATATATATAATTTTTCCAGTTTGAGTATAAGCGATTTTTACTTTTACAAGTTAACATTAAAATTTTGAAAACTAAAGCACAGTTGATTTGTATCTTAAGACGCCAATGATTATTAAATAATGTGTCATGTAAACGTTTTAAGAATTTAACTATAAAGTTTTTTTTATTTAAGGTTTTATTTATGTTTTATTTAAGGTTCTAAGAGGGAGTTAATAGCCACAGCCAAAGCTATCGCCGATGCCAGTGCCGATGTAACACGCATCGCTAAACAACTTGCAAGAGAATGCACTGACAAGAGGATCAGAACTAACTTACTGCAAGTTTGTGAGCGAATACCTACAATCGCTACTCAGTTGAAGATTCTTAGCACAGTAAAAGCTACTATGTTGGGATCTCAAGGTAATGATTCAATATTTTTTATTCACTTTGTAGGAAACGGTGTAAGTAGTTATAATATAACAAATATGTCGGAATAATAACTGTACAATACAAATAAACGGTCTTATAACTAATGTCTAGAGCTTGACCTACTACTCTGAGCCGCGTAATGTAGGCTGCCTATTATGAATTTGAATCGGGAAAATTACTGACAGACATACGCATGATGTCGAACGAAGTTTTTCTATAATTCTTTTATATTATGTATATGGTATTGTTATACATATATATATATATATATATATATATATATATATATATATATATATACAGTCAAAATCGTTTACAACGACACCGGCTATAATGTACAATCGGATATAACAAACAAAATAGTAGGTCCCATAAAATGACATACAAAAAACGCATTTATATTGCGTATAATGAACAAATCGGTTAGAGCAAACTTATTTCTTGGAACATTAGCAGTTAAAATGTTGGTTACAGCGTACAATTTCAAGTACATATCTGTACCTCAGATGATACAACATCCATTTTTTTTCAATTATGACATTTTTACACACTATATAATCAAGAAAATATAAATAATTATAACCAACGCATGATGTACATAACACTAGATACAATGTTCAATATAATCCACATCTTAATAAATAAGTTTAAAAGTACTATCCTGTAAAGTTATGAAAATGGACATTGTAGTGTTGTATTTCTCACAGATATAACTGATATTTAGTACCAGGAAATGAGAAGTAAGGATTTATTAATTTATGGTTATAGTACATTCAGGCAGGCATCTACACTTGATTACTCGTCCTTTAGACATTTAGACCTCCCAAGACGAGTCCATTGTATTACAAAATTTTGTTTATATTACACAATTTGGCCCAAGACAAGAGTTTCTGAATTTGAATTCAGTTGTGTCTAGTTTTCATAGAAAACATGTCATGGAAACAATTTACTATTGAGGAACAGTTTGGAATAATTTGCTGAGTCGATTCCGCCAGTTCGATTGCTCGGGAATTTAAAACGTCACGCTCAACAATTGCTGGAATGACGAAACGGCGTGAGAACATTATTATGAAATTTAATGTGTAAAAAAGAAAAACGCGTTCGCTCATCAAATCACAGTGACATTGAAGGTGCCTTGCTCGACTAGTTCAAACAACAACCCGCAAACAATGTAGCCGTAAGTGGGTCGATGCTTCAGGTAAAGGCTGATGCTTTCGCTGTGATTTTGAAGAAGGATTTAAAGTGTAATGCTTCCTGGGGTCAACGTTTCCGAGATCGCCACAATATTGTCCACACCAACGACTTACAACCATAAGGAATCGCATACAACGATATTGCACAAACGCATTTGCAGGATTCGGTTCTGACTGCTCTGCAGATGACTATGTACGAGTGGATGACGAAATAAGTACGAGCGAAGAACTGTCAGATATTGACATCGTACTGAGTCACCAAACTAGTGACAAACAAAGTACTGATGAGGCTCATGAAGAATTGGAAGATTTCGGCAAAATCCCTACTGTTGCTGAAGCGTATGCTACTTGTTCCACCATAAGAGCATTTATTCAGACTGCTGAAACTTCCGAAAGTGTGAAATAATCATTATCGATTATTTCCACATACACTGAAAAAATGTTTTTTTTTTCAGAAGTTCAAGGAATGCGTATACTTTATTGACTACTTATTCTTATTTCAATACATATTATACATATATGTATGTACATATATTTAGATTTATGTAAGTACAATAAACATTATGTTAAATGTTATGTATAATATGTTATTATAACATATTAGTATAGATAAAATAACACACTAACTCTTCCTACCAGTGGAATATCGTTTATAGCAACCTGTTTATTATAACCGATAGAACCGCTTACAGAGAACACTGGCTACAACGTACAAAAACCACCAGTCCCCTGAAGTTCGTTATAAACGATTTTGACTATATATATATATATATATATATATATATATATATATATATATATATATATATATATAATATAAAATATTTTATTTTGTTGATATATGTCAGGTTCTATCGGTCTGGAATTAAAACAATTCTGTTTTTTAGTCACTTAATATTTCGCCAATTGATTATTGGCTTCATCAGAAGTGCTCTACAAATTTATTAAAACAAAGAGATAAGCAACATTACGATAAAATTACATAAATATGTACTTACAGAGGTAGAACTGTTCACAAAAAAAGAGACATGAATAACATTAGTTCGACACTTTGACAATTAGACTGACAATTTTCTAAAGAAGTTAATATACACATAAAACAACAAAAAGTGTACAGTGGATTAGACGATTTTTCTATATTATATGTTCATATGTGTTGGTTTTTTGTACACATGAGACCCATATCCACTAGGTATCTTAAAGGTTATATGGTTAAAAGTAAATATAGAAGGGATTGTGCCTTTAATAGAAATTATATATTAAAAACAGTTAAACAAAAACATGGCAATCAATACATTAAAGTTCTTTGAATTATATATAGGATTCAATAATTAAATAATATACCTGGTGTTCCATCTAAAATAATAAAGTTGGCATTAGTATTTACATGACATTACACTTTATGTATTATTCAAAAACACACTGAAACGTTATTACTATAAAAATATAAATTTTATTAAAATTAGCTATATTTTTTAAATGTTAATATAATTTGGTACATAGATTTGTATATGTTATATTTTTTAAGTTAGAATTAATATAAATAAATAGTCTATTTACAAATGTACCATTAGATAAAAGTTTGAAAACAATTAGGACCAAATTACAAAATGTTAGATTAATAACTAAAACCAAATTCAATGTATCAGCTATAATGGAACTGTTGACATTATCTATTGACAACACTTATTTTCATCTAAACAATGATTTCTATAAACAAAATGTTTAGGCTGTGCTTTAAATCCAATATTAGCTAATATATTGATGGAAGACTACAAAACAAACATTCGTAATCAAAATTTAAAGCCCACAATATGTTGGAAATATGTAGATGATGTGTTGGACACATTTCTGATTAATATAAATAAAAGGTAAAAGGAGGAGTCAATAAAATTTACAATGGAAAAGGAATACAATAACTCGTTACCTTTTCTGGATGGTTTAATCTCAAAGGAAAATAGTGGATATGGGACTCATGTATACAAAAAACCAACACATATGAATATATATATATATTTATATATATATATATATATATATATATATATATATATATAATATATACATATATAATATATATATATATATATATATATATATATATATATATATATATATATATAATATATATATATATATATATATATATATATATATATATATATATATAAATTATAAATCAAATCACAACATAAATGTTAAAAAGGGAGTCAATAAATCATTATAGGAAAGAGCTAAAATTGCCTGTTAAAATGAAAATCCGTTTTTGGAAGAAAAATAATTATTAACATCTATTTTAGTAAAAAAAGATTTTCTAATGTCGTTTATAAGTAAGGAATTTTTCAGAATAAAGGAAATTGAATAAAATAACAGAAAGGAATCCTGTTACATTCACACGACAAAATTCGAGAAAAATAACAATACGATAATATACATAATATAAAAAAATTATTGGCGATGTCAACGAACTGTAGGGGGCGCTTTGACAGATGATCAGCTGATCACACAGGAAAACAAAACAGCTACCATAATCTTTGTAGGTGAATGATTGTTGTGTCTAAAAATTATCCGTATTTACTATCTTCCATTGATTTTTTTGTTAACTAAGTATGTTAACTACTGTTAAGTTTTGTTAACTAATAATTAAGTATTTTTGGCAAATAAAGACATTAAACTTAGTCTGCCCCATATTTTGACATATATAGGAGACACAAAAAGACCTTTAAAAGAAGGCGAGGCCTTGTTAAAGGATGGCCACGTTGTGTTGTGTGGCGCAAACATAATAACAAATTAGTCGATTTGTGTCTGCAAACAACTAATTTAAATGGTGCCCCATATGAAATCACTGTGTATGTGTTAAGAGACGGGTGGGTGGCAAAATGCACTTGTAAGGCCCACCAGGGAGGAATGGGCGTGTGTTTTATTAAGCATTAGTCTAGCGTTCACTAGTTCCTCATTGAATTTTCTTTCGTGTTTTCCTTTAAGAAGGCATTGAGAGAGAACAACACCTTTCTTTGAAAGTTTCTTTTTCCCTGCTACAGCTATAATAGAAATTTTAATTAAGATCTATATTAGTGTATATATTTGATATCGATTTCCCAAATTTTAATTCCTGTGTCCAACGATCTTATAGATTTTTGTTACGAGGAAAAAAGTGCATACTTATTCCTTCCGATCGATGATTACTGCATTGCGGTGCAGAACAATATTGTTTACATTTACTTTTTGTTAACATTTTGTTACCTTATTGTGTGTTATTTAATAATATTTAAAATGTTTATAACTACGTTATGTGTGTATAACTATGTCTGTCAGTAATTTTCCCGATTCAAATTCATAATAGACAACCTACATTACGCGGCCCAGAGTAGCTCTAGACATTAGTCGGTCTTATATAGATAGGTAATCAATTCGAGGCAGTTCGGGTAAACAATCGACGAGTCGGAATCTTCTTTTTATAGTTTCAGATTATTTCCCTCCCATTACATAGGGGCGAGGAGGGTAAAATGATTCCCCTAAGAAAAAAATTCTTAGCATGGCAAAATATTTTTAAAACTGCATTTTAAAAGGGTAAACCTCTAAAAGAGTAATTTATCTTAACACTTTTTAAAATACATAAAATACAAAAATAGCAACAGGATATTTTACCCGCATATTGGGATAAAACGATCCTTCTACAAATAAAAAATATAATATCAATGAAAAAATGTCTTTAAAACCTAATTTTTCTCTGAAATCTTTCGACAAAGGAATTCATCTTCGTCGTCTTTAACTCCCAAACACAATTCGTAAGCCCATTCCAAACACTTTTGGCATTGAATCCATCCGTCAAATGAAGT